ACTCATTTTTAACTCCTTGAGAAAATCGACTCCGACTCATTGTTGGGTACATTCTTCCACGACAGTTTTCACTTATTGTTGAGTGTGGATTGGTCATGGGTCAATTTTTGGTACCGTTACCGGGGAGTTATAATGGTGTTAGTTATATATTTGAGTGTATTTTTGGAATATCTTCTTTCCCTTCCATGTTATTAACTTGTTGAAGAAATCATAGGTACAAACATGACGAACAATAAGCTCGAAAACATACCGTTGGGGGACTTGGATGGTGAGGAGGAACGACTCGACGAGGTACTTCAAGTACCACAACCTAATCGGCGAGCCCGGGCACCACAAGACAACGTGCCCGTACCATCCTCACCTCCACAACATCCACCACAAGCGGCTCAATACCGGATATTGCCCAATGAAGGTTTTGCTAGGGCAATAGTCCCTCCTCGTATTAGGACGGACAACTTTCAAATCACCAACATGATGCTCACTTTACTTGAGCAACGGGACTTCTTTACCGGTGCGCCAACTCAAAATGCTTACAAACATTTGAAGGGCTTTGTGGATCATGTTGGGAGGAGCAAGCAAACTAATATTTTCGAGGATGCATTAAGGCTAAGGCTTTTTCCTTTCTCTCTACGGGGTAAAGCTTTAGATTTGTTGGAATATTTGGTGAACCATTCAATACACACTTGGGATGAGTTGGCAGCCAAGTTCATTGCTAAGTTTTTCTCTCCCAGGCACATGGCTACCCTTCGAGATGAATTCTTGGAATTTAAACAAGAACAAAATGAACCACTACACGAAATTTGAGAGCGCCATAGAACAATGGTTAAGGAATGCCTCAACAACGATATGACGGAGAACATGTTGTAACAAACCTTCTATCATGGGATTAACACAACCAACCAATGTGTAGTGAATCAACTAGCCGGTGGAAACTTCATGGCAACGCCTTATGCGGAGGCGTGTAACACTCTAGATGAAATGGCAGAGACTTCATCGGCTTGGCAATCCCGGGCCAATGTCCCACAAGGTGATCTGAATATGATACACCTCCACAAGGAGTTGCAAGACCATGGACAAGACATTGCCGAATTGACAACAACCATGACTCAACTAGCAAAGGCCCAACTTAATCAAGTGTAAGCTCATAAGCAAGTTCATGCTATGGAGGGAGTTAATGGTTTGGTGAACAAGAAAAGGACCAAGGATCCACAAATGCAAACCCGAGTGGAGAACTATGTGCAAGATGATAACGGTTTTGATCAAGATAATTCTTATAATGAGCAAGAAGCGGAAGTTCAATATGTGAATAATTTTCAAGGGCAAAGAAACAACTTCCAAGGCCCCAATCAACAATAATGGCGACCACAAAATAACCATGGAAATTGGAGTTCTAACAATCAAGGGAATTGGCATTATAACAACAATCAAGGAAATTGAAGTGCAAACAACCAAGGAAATTGGGGAGGCAACAATCAAGGTGGTTGGGAAACAATCAAGGCAACCAGGGGGCGGGTTTTCAAATGCCCCCAATGTATCAACAACCGAGCAACCCACCTCCTTTATCCTTCACATGGTTCAAGTTCTTCAAACTATGAGAAGAGACGTATTGAGAATATGTTCAAGCAAATGATGGAAAAGAATGCCGATTCGGATGCCCAAGTAACATATGTCCGTTCCTCATTTTTTGGCATTTTCGGGCCATAAAATTGGAATTTCGTCCTATTCCCAAATTTTTGTATGCTATTGCCCACACCATCTGTATGGGCTCGAGAGATCGGACACGGATTGCCTAAAATTTTGCTGGCCCAACAAGAATGACCTAAGGAACAATAGTCATCGCCTCACCATGACCGTTCCTCTTTTTTGGCATTTTAGGGCCATAAAACTGAAACTTTGCCTGATTCTCTGATTTACGTGTGCTATAGCCCACGCCATCTTCATGGCCCCGGGCGATCATATTTTGCCGGCCTATCAAAAAATGACCTAAGAGACAATAGTTATTGCCTCGCTGTGACCTTTCTTCGTTTTTAGCGTTTTCAGGCCATAAAACTGGAATTTCATCCGATTCCCAAATTTTGTGTGCTATAGCCCACGCCATCTGCATGGATCCGGGCGACCGGATCCGGATCGCCTAAAATTTTGTCGACCCAAAAAAAACGACCTAAGAAACAATAGTCATCGCTTTGCCATGACCGTTCCTCATTTTTTTTTGCGTTTTAGGGCCATATTATAGAAATTTTGCCAGATTCTCAAACTTTTGTGTGCTAGCACACGCCATTTGCATGCATTCGGGAGACCGAACCCGAATCGCCTAATATTTTGCCGACCCATCAAAAACGATCTAAAGAACAATAATCATAGCTTCCCCATGACTGTTACTCATTTTTTGGGGTTTTAGAGCCATAAAACTAGAGTTCTGCCCAATTTTCAGATTTTCGTGTGCTATAGCCCATGCCATCTGCATGCGTCCAGGTGACCGGATCCGAGTGGCCTAAAATTTTGCCGGCCCATAAAAAATGACCCAACGAACAATAGTCATTGCTTCTCCATGACCATTCCTCGATTTTAGGCATTTTAGAGCCATAAAACTGGAATTCCGCCTGATTCCAAATTTTCGTGTGCTATAGCTCACACCCATATGCATGCATCCCAGCGACAGGACCCGGATCACCTAAACTTTTGTCGGCCCATAGAAATGACATATGAAACAATAGTCATTGCTTTGCCATGACCGTTCCTCATTATTGGTGTTTTAGGACCATAAAACTATAATTCCGCCCGAATCACAGATTTTCATTGCTATAACCCGCGCCATCTGCATGCATCTGGGCGATCGGATCCGAATCGTCTAAAATTTTGACGGGCCATCAAAAATGACATACGGAACGATAATCATCGCTTCGCCATGACCGTTCCTTATTTTTTGGCGTTTTAGGGCCATACAACTAGAATTTCGCCCGATTCCCAAATTTTCGTGTGCTTTAGCCCACGCCATCTACATGCATCTAGACAACTGGACCCGAATCTCCCGTCCATTAAAGCGACCTTAGAAACAATGGTTATTGTTTCGCCATAATCGTTCCTCCTTTTTTGGTGTTTTAGGACCACAAAATTAAAATTCCGCCCGATTTCTAGATTTTTGTATTTTATTACCCACACCATCTGCATGTATCCGGGCGGTTAGACCCGAATCGACTAAAATTTTATCGTCCCATCAAAAATAACCTAAGAGCAATAATCACTGCTTCGCCGTGACCGTTCCACCTTTTTTGATATTTTGGGGCTATAAAACTAGAATTTCGCCGGAATTCCAGATTTTCACGTGCAATAGCCCAGGCCATCTGCGTGCATTCAGGCGATCAGACCCGAATCGCCTAAAATTTTATCGGTCCATCAGAAACGATCTAAGGAGCAATCGCCATCGCTTCGTCATGACTGTTCCTCGTTTTTAGGCATTTTAGAGTAAAAATAGCACAGTCTAGCCAGTTTTCGGACTGGTCATTCAAAAATAGCCAGCGTTTACTAAGTCAATGAAAAATAGCCACTATTTTGCTGCAACAGAGACCGGTCCAGCATAATATACTAGAGTTCGGTGCACCTGTGTATGAACTTCCAGCATATTATGCTGGAACTCCAACACACGGAAAGTTCCAGCATAATATACTGGAGATTCGAGCACTTGTGTATGAACTTCCAGCATATTATACTGGACCGGTATACTTTGCTGGAACTCCAGTATATTATGCCGGAGTTCTAGTGTACTTATGCTGTCCATCATATTATGCTGGAGTTCCAGCATACTTATCCTGGAACTCCAGTATAATATGCTGGAGTTCAAGTATACTTATGCTGGAACTCCAGCATAATATACTGGCGTATTTTCCGGGTTTTGAATAGTGTTTTTGCTTAGATTTATCTTTACATGAAAAGTGGCTAAAATTCGATTACTTTTGAAACTGGACTATTTTGAATGACCACTTGTAAATCTGGCTATTTTTGAATTTCTCCCCATTTTACAGCCATAAAACTTGAATTCCGCCAGATTTTTAGATTTTTTATGTGCTATAGCACACGTCATTTGCATGCTTCAGGGCGACCGGAACTGAATCACCTAAAATTTTGCCGCCCCATAAAAGTGACCTAAGGAACAATAGCCATCGCTTCGCCATGACCATTCCTCGGTTTTTGGCATTTCAAGTCCATAAAACTGGAATTACGCCTGATTCCTAGATTTTCGCGTGCCACGCCCATCTGCATGCATCCAGGCGACCCGTCCTGAATCGCTAAAATTTTGTCGAGCCATAAAAAACGACTTAAGGAACAATAGTCATCACTTCGCCATGGCTGTTCCTTTTTTTTTGGTACGTTTTAGGATCATAAAACTGGAATTTCGCCCGATTCCCAAATTTTCGTGTGCTACAACCACGTCATTTGCATGCATCCGGCCAATCGGACCCGAATCGCCTAAAATTTTGCCGGCCCATAAAAAATAACCTAAGGAACAATAGTCATTGATTTGCCATGACCGTTCCTTATCTTTTAGCATTTTAGGGCCATAAAACTGGAATTTCGCATGATTCCAGATTTTCGTGTGCTACAACCCACGCCTATCTGCATGCATCCGGGCGACGGACTCGAATCGCCTTGGCGTTTTAGGGCCATAAGGTAGGAATTCAGCGCGACTTCTGATTTTTCGTACGATGATGTCCACGCCTTCTTCATGAATTCGGACGACCGGCCGCAAATCACCTAAAATTTTGTGTTCCCATCAAAAACGGCCTAATGAACCATAGCCATTGTCTCGCCATAATTGTTCCTCGTTTTTTGACGTTAGTCTATTGTTTAGCTTCTCTATGATTTCCATTTTCGTGGACAGCTTAGAGATTATTTGGTTTAAGGTTTGTGTGTGCGTTAGGATCTATTATTCACCGACTTTCGAACCGTATACCAGCTGCCCCTCAAGGATTTTTCGGTTATTTAAAAAATTAAATCCCAATGTATTATCTTAGAATCACAAGAAACAACGTAAATTCATAATGAAAGATGTATGAGTTATGACTGTTCAAACGCTTAAATTACACAGAATTGTTAAAAGCTATATTGAACCAACAAAGAAAGATCAGCCAGAAAATATATTAGCAGATCATTTCAAGACCCTCAAATACTACATTCTATTTTCCAGATTACTATATCCTCCGCGAGAGGTCATCAAGAAGCCTGGAAGCGCTCTTCATTTCGCGGTCTTTGAGTGCTTAATTAGCCAATCGATAACAGCATCGATATTTACAGAATCCTTGCACGAGATCATGTAGCAGCAGACTTCTCTATCCGTTATTGAATCAAGACCTCTGAGATGCACAACAGGCATTATAGTTAAGAAAGAGAATTCGTAAAAAGAAAGACATTGACAGCATACATAAGACGATAAACTTAACTTTTCACGATTTTTTTTTATCTAGACACGTGACAAGTTTAGGTGTCTGTCTATGTACTCGCCAAAGAAATTCTTACGTAGGGGCTAACGTTCAGCTACTTACAGTTGATCGACCAATGCCTGCTGCGAAAGAGCTTCTGATTTGTCAATTTTGTTTCCCAAGATAAGCAAAGGTATCCCACTTAATGAAGGTTTCTTCAAAAGTTCATGTAACTCAGTTCTGGTTATAGGTACACTGTCTCTATCGGCAGCATCAACAACATACCTGTCGCATAAAATTTCCTATGTCAATTCAACATGAATACGAAATGCAGTGTCACTTCGTACTCAACGCCTCGAAGTTAAGCTGTAGTTTCCAAAAAAAATTAGATGAAAAAGAACACCATCACTACAAATGAAAGGAAGTTTCAACTGTACTGCTGAACCGCGTGACAATTTCATCTAGAAGCTAAGCTGTTAAAGAGACACTTCCATATACGTAATTATAACTTTAACATTAACACGCCCCCTAACATGCAGGTCTAATTCTTTTTCATAGACCAAACACATGAAAATTCTTTTTGATAATGGATAATCGATAGCTGTGAGATTAAACTCATTGCCTTTGCTTACTTTGCTACCATGTTGAAGTGTGACCTTCTCATTTAAAACTGAACGGTTAGAGAGAACACACTTTTGTATGCTTAATTATGTCTTCAACAAAAATTATTCTCTAGCATTCTTTGTTCTTACTTATAGTCCTTGTTAATAACAGAAAGCAAGCTATAACTGAAAAGTCAATAAAGCTGCAAACACGGAGTATCATGGACATAAGCCATCCAACAAGGGGCGGATCCAGCTCTTTGGTACCGGGTTCATCTGAACCCGGTACTTTCGACGCGGTGCATAAATTTATGTGCAAAAATTCAGTAAATTACAACAAATAATTTATGAACCCATAACTTTAAAAATATAATAGGTTCGATGCTAAAAATCTGAAAAGTTGAACCCGTAAATTTTAAATTCTGGATCCGCCGCCGCATCCAACTACCACGACAATGATGAGGCAAGTGTAGGTATGACACACTCAACTAAAACCAACAGCAATGATGTTAACTTAAGGCAGAGAAAATAACACGGCCGTGAGAAAGAAGGCACCCAGTACTTCCCCGACCCACAAAAAAGACAGCAACTAAGATGGGACGTTTATAAGTTAATTTAATTTGCGGAACCTTGCACAGTGTTAATGAAACTTGAGGTGCATAGCTCGGGAACAGTTTCATCCCTTTAAGTGCCAAAATCATGAATTCAGGCAAAAGCATTAAGTGCATGTTGTATTAAACCAAAGAAATAAGTAAATAAATTTGAGGAGACAGATAAAAATAGAGATCAAGATTAGGAATTACAATATCGCAGAGACACCCCGACAATAGCGCTCCCACATCGTACGAAATCTCCTTTGGCCTCCAAGATCCCAGAGTTTTATGGTAACATTTCCTTTTGTAACTTTGCGCATATTAAATCCAACCTAGTTGCAAGAAACTTTATTGAGCAAGTAAACCGGGAGAAATCAAGATTGCTAATAATTCTGTGAGGACAAGGTACCAACCGTCGGAATCATGTCCTCGCTGTAGCCTCCAGTCTGATAAAGATCAATATATCTTATGTTAAAAAATGTTAACATCAAAATGAAAAATAGAGCGAGATGGAAGAGGAGAGTGTATATAAGGTTCTCACAGCAATGGCATTGACAAGAGATGTCTTCCCCGCATTTTGAAGGCCTACCAGGGAAAGTTCCATTTCCTGTTTAAAGAATAGGCTGAACAAGAAAACAAATAAGACACTTGGGTATCAACAATGTCACTCAGACTATGTTGCGCGGACTCTCCAAAATGTTGCCGCACCCATGTCGGATCCTCCAAAAATGCACTACATTTGATGTTACCTTCTCAAAAAAAAAAAAAACTACATTTGGTGGATCCGACATGCACCCGGCAACATTTTCGGAGAGTCCGAGCAACATAGCACTCAGGTAGACATGACTTAAAGATTACAGCACCAGTCATTATTCCAACATGAATTTGAGTTTACAAGCGCAAAGTTGAATAGTACTAATATCTAAGTAAGTTTTCCAGACTAGTATCATCTCATAATAAAAGACAACAACATGGTTACGCGGTTGCAAAACACATGAAACGCCACGAATACCCTCCCAGAACACAGAAAAAGCAAATTCATCACTCATTAGCTCTCTACTGCCTTTTGATTAGGACACTGCATATATCTGATATAGCATTCTTTTTTGATAATAAGTAATCTGACACAACATTCACATTCATCAATAACACTGATAAGCATATAAAGATATATTCAGTATAATTGCTTGTTTGACTAGCACCCAGAGATATAGCCTTCTCTTGAATTTATACATATTTGCTTGCAGATGTTCCTTACTTTAAAAGTTCTACGCAGCATTTCTTGACAGGAAACTGGCCACATGTTTGCTCGGAAGAGGGATTTTGGGTGGGGCTGGGGGTTAAATGTAATATAATGACAACTCTGATAGGGAAAAAGTATTGGAAGGAATAGCAAGCTCCTTTGGACAGAAGGAAGGGGACAAGCTGCCTCCGCTCCACATGAAGTATCTTATCTGGAAAATGCTAGCTGCGGACAAAAGCTCCTTAATGTCTGGCTTTGTTCATGATAAATAAAGAGACCTGAACATCAGTGCTGGGAGCACAACTCACATTACATTGTGACTAAGAATGGGTAATATTCCTAGTCAAATCTTGCAAAAAATACTACTTTTCCAATATTACAGAGGTTGGGGGTCGGCAACCCGTTATGTGAAGTAATCACAAAAGTGATGGAAGTTATTCCCCATCTCAGCCAGCTGATGCAGTTCCAAGCATTTCTGATGAGAGCAATGAGAGAGCACCGGCAGGATGTGTATAAGGAACTCTCCACTAATCAGCTTGATGGTTAGCTCAGAAACCATTAGCCAAGGAGAATAAATTTAAGCTGTCAATCTAACATCAGCGGAAAGAGAACAAAACCGTTGAAGCTAGACAATGATGTCTCTAGCATCAGGATACCCATTTTTGGCATCGGTGAAGTCTAAATAGTTCACTAATGAAATTATTCTCTGGGATACAAGTTTAGTCTCTGTTGTTCTGTTAGTCTTTCCTATATAAAATTTGCCAAAGCTCTTCACCTATCTTTACACTGGGGTTGCTTCCTAGACCACGATATCATATAAATATTTACTCTGATTGGCAAGGACAAATGACAAGCTGCAAGCTATTGCTCCTCTATCAACCCCATTAAGAAAAACAATGAGCTTCAACATCACAATTTGATAACGGCAACAGAATAATTGAACTCACAACGCCATATTGGTTTAACTGCTAACGCTATTAATTACTCTAAAATAACAGATCCATTAACTTAGTTTCATAAGCCCCTCCTTCACCAAAAGCAAACCGTCCCAATAAGTAAAAGGTAAAAAAATAAAACTATAAAGTCTATTTTTCAGATTATTTATGGAATGAATGTTTCGGCCTTCTGATTAAGATACTCAGTTTTAGTTTTGTATCTTCGTATTTTTTGCTTCGGTTTTATAACTGGTGTGATTGCTGCTGCCCTTCCTTTTATCTTTCCTAAGCCGGGGGTCTTTCGGAAACAGCCTCTCTGCCTTCTTGAAGGTAGGGGTAAGGTCTGCGTACATACTACCCTCCCCAGACCCCACTTATGGGATTACACTGGGTCTGTTGTTGTTGTATTTATGTACGGAATATTATTTGATTATCAGGGACATAGCTTTTACAATCCAACCAAAATAAGTTTCTTTTTAAATTCTTAAACTTATCAACCTAATGCCAATATGAACAAAAACTATCAACCATAAAAGAGGGCAACAGGACCCAAACAGCAAATCCTGTACTTACCAACTTAATTCTCTAATCCAAATTCCAACTTTTCACTTCTGCATTTTAAAAGTAAAGAAGCATACTAGCACGGTAAATTGAACTACGAAATCTCAAGTTCAAATTTTAAGAAGGCAAAAACACTAAGAGGTCGTTTGGCTTGAAGACGAGTTATACTGGGATTAGTTATGTTGGGATTATTTATTCTAGTATTATTTCATATTGACTGTTTGGAGTTAATCCTAGCATTGTCAATTTTACTGATTTATCCGGGATAACTTATCCTAGGATTATTATTGTGGGATAACTTATCCCAGTATTAGTAACCAAACAAGGGATAAGGCGGTACTACATTGTTATCCGAGATTATTTTGCTTATTCATCATACCTAAGTGATTTCTTCCCCTCTATCCAAGCCTTGGCGAGGCGAACAAAGTTAGGAGAGGTAGCCGTCGAGGTGCACACAAGCTGGACCAGAGTTATAAAACAAATTGAACTAGGAAAAAGAAGAACTTTAGCAAGAAAGACATACCCAAAAAATCAAATTCAATTCAATCCAATACTCCATATAATTTCAACAAAACAATCAATAAATGAAAAAGGGTTTCCTTAAAAAAGCAAAAAGGAGGAAACTTTATCACCTACGAAGCCAGTTGAGTAAAGAATCCCAAAGACCCATATTTCAGAAAGTGAAAAAGCAGAGAAATTTGGTGGAATTAAGGGAGCATAAGAAAGGGATTTTTGTTGAAGTGGCAGAATGTGAAAGAGGAGGTGACAAGTAAGTAATAATATAGGAAAAGGAGAAAGTAAAGAAATACTAATAGGAAACTTCGCCGACTGGAATAAGGACAGAATCTAAATAAATAGCATTGATTTTGGTGTAAGTTGGATTGCTGCTGCAGCCGTAATTACTTTATTAGGAGAGAATCTAAGGGAAGGAAATGAAAATGAAATTTATAAATTTGTTGTTTACCCTTTTTTTTTTGGGTGGAAATAACATCATTAGCCACTTTTAAGCATGATGTTTAAAATATATTCACAATTACAATGTACTTAAAGATTTTGTCAATTTCACTCGAATAAGTCCAGAAGTTCGAATTTTATGTCCTGAATTTTAAATTTGTATTTTAGAATTTCAGGACTAAGTGTCCTGAATTTTTTATTACCAGCTCAAAAATTCTGAATTTCCAAATTCAGGATACTTAGTCTGAAGTTTTGGTGAATTGGCTAACCTTTAAGTACATTATAAATTGTGGACATATTTTAAATAGCAGACTTAAAAGTGGCTATTGCTGCACTTTGCCTTTTTTTGGTTGTATTTATTGGACAAGGTCTTTCTAGAAATAGTGATTTTTATTCAGAATTTCAACATTTTACGAAGTGAAATTTATGGACACGTACAATTTCAACTTTATATTTTTTGCCAATTCTAACTCATGTTTTTTTTTTGAGAAATTACCAGCTATGTCCATTTATAAGTAGCTCATTACAAAAATTGGCCAATTGATAAAATATTACTAATATTAGCCAAATTAGCCAATTACCTATTTGTAGCAAAAAATATCAAATTTTTGCTTTGTTTTGAGTGGGTGTTATTAGAATAGATTGGGCACAACTTAAGAGCTTGAATCTCAGTTTTGGGATGATTTCGTGAAGTTTTGAGGTGGTTTGAATTGAAAATTCGAAGTAAAAGCTGAACATGAAAAAAAATGATATGTGTATCACACTGTGTATCATTTGTGTATCACATATGTATCATATTTGTATCAATTGTGTATCACATGTATATCCATGTATACCTGTGTGTTTGATACATGTGTCGCAGAAGACTTTTTTGAACTATATTTAATTACGAATTTTGATACAAAACCAGTCCAAATCACCTCCAATCTTCCTCAAATTTTGTATATCAACTTATCTATATATTTTCAATAAATTTCAACTATACCCTTTGAAAAAGTTCCTTTTTTGTTTAGATTTTTGGAATATTATATAGATTTCTGTATTTCATCACCTTATTTGCTACCCCGCCCATGAAATTTCCTTTCCGTCTTGTATCTAATGTTGCTAATCATGCTTAAAAATATGGAAGGTGATTTTTGCATGTGATTCTTTGAGATAAAGAACCCTATTATTTGGTTTTTTAATTTTTGTTGGCTAGTTTTGGTAAGTCTATGACTAATGGCTAGAGGTTGGTAAGTTGAAATTTATTTGGGACATTTGCGTAAGTTTTTTTGGCAGAAGAGTTTCCTATTACTTGGAAAAAATGGGAAACAACATTTGGGCCTTTCCACATGGATTTGGGCCGGCCGAATAATACTCATAACGGCGTTTAATTTTGAGGAATTTTCAGAAATGACTATTGTTTAGTGGCTATTAATTTCCTATAGCTACCATATACATAATTACTTTCCGTAGTTACCTTTCAGTTGTTATGGTAATATATTCGAGCTACTGTATTTATGAATACAATATCAAAAATCGGTTAAAAAATAGGACAGTCCAGCTGTCAGCCGCTGTATTCACATGTATTCATGCCATGTATTCACAAATACAACGTAATAATAGGTCTCTCCAGTTGTTTAATAACAGAAAGATGCTAAGTTAATGGGATACACTCCTAATATAACTCACCTAAATCAATTATAACACACAATATTATCAATCCAATTAATGAGAAGATTTATCAGACGCTAAACACCAATAAACAGAGCATTCTTTAGAGTTTCGGTCCCTCTTTTTTTTTTTTTGATACAGTTCGAGCCTTTTTTTTCCTGACATTGTTCGAGGTTCATAATAAACCTAGTGCTTGTATTCGATTTTCTGTATATGAATACATCATATATTTATGCCGGACACAACCTGTAATTGTAACCTATTGCCTGCATATTTCATAATAAACCTAGTGCTTCTATTCTGTTGTATCTAACAGTTTTGTTTAATGTATTCAAATTTATTTTTGTATTCACAATATTTTTTTTTATTTCTAATACATGGTATTACTGCTTTATTGAGTATATTTCATTGGTGGTATTCATTGATTTTTAATTTGTATTGAAAGTATTTTACTTTATTGTTGTTTCAAATACAGATGGATACACTTATGTTGAAAATACAGATGAGTACAGTTAGATTGAATGCATAACTAATTGATGAATAACATCAAAATGATAGAACTAACATTGTATTTTAAAATCTTGTTGTATGAACTCAAATACATATAAAATCATCTAAATACAACAATTAAAAATCATTGTACAAAATAAAAATCAGTTTATGCCTTATCGAATACATATAAATACATCTAAATACAAGAAGAGAAAATCACTGTACAAACTAAAAATCAATGTATTCGGACTCGAATACATATAAATACATCTACAATTAGGGTCATTGCGTATTTTTGTTCTCCTTTCGACTTCAATGGTTGCTGATGAACCTGCAAATACAGGTTCCTCTTGAGTGATTTGCAAATCGAAAGATGGCCCTTCGAAATTAAGTGTTTTGGTGGGTATTCTGCAGAAAACCTAACAAAGCTTTTATAGTATCGAAAGATGGCCCTTCGAAATTGAGTGCTTTAGTGGGTATTCTGCAGAAAACCTAACAAAGGTGAATATTTAAAAAAAAATTGTTGAAGAGAAAAAGAAGAAGCTTTAACCGGTCAAAAACTAAAAAACTTTAACACTTACCACAACTTTTTGGAGCAAAAAATATTAAAAATTGAGGGAGACAATGGCGCTGATAAAGGAGAGAGCTAGAGAGAGAAATTTGGAGCAAAAAATATTGAAAACGGTCATGAAAACCGCTAGGTCTCCATGTCGCCTAGAGAGAGGAGAGAGATCGTTGAGAGAGAAATAAGATACTGTGCGGTGATTTTGGGAGAGAATAAACTGAAAAAATGAGAGAAAATAATATTTGACAGCATATTTAATGGCTTAATGATAGGAGGTGACCATAAATACATATTTTGATGTAAAATCTAAAAGGTAGCTATAGAAAATAATAATTTAAAAGGATTTTTATTTATAAAAAATAAGGTGTAAAGCTTTGCTATAGGAGGTAAAATTTCCTTTAATATTTTAAGAAAAGTTAATCCAAATAGTCGCTCACCCAATCTCTTAAATTAAAAAAAGCCAATATAATATATTCATAATTTGTGTATTATACATATATAATATATGTATATGGATATAAAAAGTAAACAGTAAATGTAGCCGACTATTTGTGTAAAGATCCCAGGCAAGATACACATTTAGCCGGTCGATCAAAAAATAATTATATTTTTGGAAACAACCTCTCTACCTGCATTAGGTAGGGGTAAGGTCTGCGTACAGACTACCCTCCCCAGACCCCACCTGTTGGGATCAAACTGGGTTTGTTGTTGTTGTTGTTGTTATTGTTATGCCAACCAAATATAAAAATGTAAAACATGTATATTATATGTATATTATAATATTAATATACAAAAAAAAATATATATATATATATTGTTGGCTTTATTTTTTAGAACAGCAATACTGCATAGTTTTAAACTTCACCTTTCAAGCTTAATTTTTGTCAAACCTTTTTTTCTAGTAAGGTGATTTTTATCATTGTATGATGTTGCTCCAAAACGCACACGTAAATATATATAGTCGTACAAGTAATATAGGATTGTAAGTTCATATATCGTACCCACAGGGACTTGATTAACTATTTACTAAATTAAACTAAGACAATTAATCTATTCAAGCAATTTTCTAAAGTATAAATATTTAATTAAAACTAATCTAGAGTAGCAAACTATGAAATTAAAGGAAACAAGTTGGCGAATATTAGAGACGAATTCAATGAGAGACAATATTGTAGAGCTATGGGATAGTAGCAATCCCGTTGAGTTTTCTACCTAAATCGTCTAATTAATTTATCTGGTTTATTGATTGACAGGGTTAATATTGCTCGTAGCCTTCTCTTGGAGTACTACTCGCCTATTCAAGCTAACCTAACATCTATATTCCTATAGAATTAGGATTAGCAAGAATGCATTAATAATTCCTGTATAATAACCAAGTAAGGCGATTAGGTATATCCCTATCCTAACCGCAAATCAGTTCCCCGTTGCTCGAGTTCAAGATCTTGCTTTACTCAATCTTATATGCAATCTAAAATTCCCTCTCCCGAGTTCAATCCTAGATTCGTAGATAGTATTCAATTGGTGATCAAGCAATCAAATAATTAAGCGCAAGATTGAATAAATAAACCAAATATGATAAATAATAAGAACAATTCAAGCTTCAAACTACAACGTTCATGTAGCACCCAAAACTCTAGAACTAATAAACTATGAAACTGAAAGAAGAGAAGAGAAGAGAAGAAAAACTAGTTAGAAGCCTCCTCCAAGTGTGGTGTGTCTTCCCCACACGTGGATTCTCCTTCAAAGTATGTTAGATCCTTAGAACCCCTTTTATACGAGTTGGGTCCGCGTAGGACTGAAATAACATTGTCCCGGACGAAATAGAAAAACCCGCACACGCAGCGTCAAGACCAGCGTGAGGCGCTGGCCTAAGCGCCGAATCTAGTACGTTTTCACGTTCAATTCCTTCGCTGTGTTACTTTCATCCATTGCATTCAAAATGCAATTGAAATACATATCCCTTTTTCTTGTCTTTCACTTGGGGGAGACAAAACCCAAAGGGTGTCCCCCTTTTTTTATTCTTTTAGTTTTCTTTTTTTTTTCTTCAGCGTTTTATCCAGTTTTACTCCAAATTTCTTTATTTTCACACCTCTTTATTCCTACGCAGTTAATATATACTATTAAGCACAAAGTAATATAACTAGTACTCAAAAGATGATTAAAAGTATTAGAATGTGAGGCAACAATGGGTAAATATATGCATTTTTGGACGAATATCATATGACTAAATATAAAATGAAAAAAGGGAATTAAATTGCAACATTTCCTTAAATGATAGGGTAGCCGGTGAACGAAGCTCCGGTGAAAAATAACTGTAACTATAACAATCCTAAGATAGCGAAATTTCTTGTCGGGTAGTTTCTGACCAGCACGAAAAGGAAGCTCTCTTTCTTTATCATTGGGCGATGTGCACAGATAGCCATTAATAGCACATGTCTTTATTTTTAAGCCACTGTTTTAAATATCTTTAGTCTTTAGCCACTGCTTTAATAAACTTTTACCTGCCTGGACGAAAATACCCTTTTGTTATAAGCTTATACCTACGCTCCTTATTAACGATCAGCAGCAACACGTAACTAACTTCCGAAGATGCAGCAGAGATTGTGATCGTCCAAAATTGCCGTAGCTTCTCTTCCGATTTCAAACTATAGCAGCAGCAGAGACTGTGTTCGTCCGAAATTGCAGTAGCTTCTCATCCAAAAATCGACATAAAATTACAGTAAGTTATGCTTTTGTGTGTTTCTGTTGATTTTTATTTCGTTACTAGGAATTTGATTTTTTTTGCTTTTCTGGATTGATAACGTTAAGGACATCGCGTCTTGTGATTATTCTATAAATATTGAGGACATAATGTTAAGGATTTGGTGTCCTTAACATGACTGTTGTTACTAATATTAAGGACATAGTGTCCTGATTTTGCAAATTGTATTGAAAAAGTTAAGGACACTATGTCCTTAATTTTTTTGCTGTTGTTCTGGATATTAAGGACATAGTGTCCTGGTTTTGCAAATTGTTTTGAAAAAGTTAAGGACACTTGGTCCTGAAGTTTGAGTTCCAAGTTCAAAAGTTAAGGACACTTGGTTCTGAAGTTTGAGTTCCAAGTTCAAAAGTTAAGGACACTTGGTCCTGAACTTCAAGTTTCAAGTTCAAAACTTAAGAACACATGGTCCTGAACTTAGACTTACAAGTTCAAAAGTTAAGGACACTTGGTCCTGAAGTTTGAGTTCTAAGTTCAAAAGTTAAGGACACTTGGTCCTGAACTTCAAGTTTCAAGTTCAAAACTTAAGGACACATGGTCCTGAACTTAGACTTACAAGTTCAAGAGTTAAGGACTGGCAGTCCTTAACTTAGAGTTCCAAGTTTAAAAGTTAAGGACACTTGGTCCTTAACTTTGAATTCCAAGTTCAAAAGTAGAGGACACTTGGTCCTGAACTTAGACTTACAAGTTCAAAAGTTAAGGACACTTGGTCCTGAAGTTTGAGTTCCAAGTTCAAAAGTTAAGGACACTTGGTCCTGAACTTTGACTTACAAGTTCAAAAGTTAAGGACACTTGCAACTGAATTTCAAGTTTCAAGTTCAAAAGTTAAGGACACATGGTCCTGAACTTCAAGTTTCAAGTTCAAAAGTTAAGGACATATGGTCCTGAACTTTAACTTACAAGTTCAAAAGTTAAGGACACTTGGTCCTTAACTTTGAATACCAAATTCAAAAGTGAAGGACGCTTGGTCCTTAACTTTGAATTCCAAGTTCAAAAGTTAAGGACGCTTGGTCCTTAACTTTGATTTTCAAGTTCAAAAGTTAAGGACACTTGGTCCTGAACTTACAGTTCCTGTCCTTAATTTATGCAAGGATTGCTCTATAAATATGTCCTGAATTTCTCATTCTCTTGACTTACTATGTATTATAGTTGCTTTTAATGGTAGATGGACTGCAGACTATAAGTATCTTGATCATCAAACAAAGCTTGTTCTAGTACCTGAGGCAATTCGATTTGAAGATTTCATTAAACAGATCTTTGAAGTTATTGAATTGGATAGAGACAAGTTTGAAGCAATGATATGGTTTGATATCAACCTGGGAACAAGCAAGGGAATGCTTGTATCCAAAGATTTAGATCTTCACACATGTATAGAGTTACTAAAAAGTCATTCACTCTTCAAGGGCTATCGTTTCATTGTTGATGTTTCGGAAAGAATTTTTGGATCTACAAGCACCTTTGAACATGTCAACAGAGAAAATCAACATGACAATCAAAACAAATGCCAACAGATAATGGAAATAGATATGGTTGAAGCTCAACCAATAACTGAAGAGGTGATTCAAACATTTGATTCTATTCAAGTGGAAGGACAAAGCATTATAGAGATTGACAACGAACAAGCTTTGGGTATTCAAGTCTTAGAGAGTGCACCGGTAATAGAAGAAGTTGCTGAAAAAACCTCTACTCAACTAACTAGACGAAGCTCAAATTCGAAACAAAAAGAATCCCCAACTACGATATTAAGAGAAAATGCTTTGTTGGATGAAATAAAAGTAGGATCAATAAAAAGAAGAGTATAATTAACTGTTTTTCGAATATAGCAATTAAAGGACATTTTGAATTCAAGGTTGTTAGATCAAGCTCAACAAGATATTCGTTGAAATGCAATGATGATAGGTGTGGGTGGTGTGTGCGTGCTTTCAGAATTAAAGATTCAACACTGTTCAAGATAATAAAGATTGAGAAAAATCATGACTGCTCAGTTAACACTATGAAAGCTGATCAAAGGCATGCAACTTCAAAGTTGATTAGTGGTTACATTATTGACAATCTTCGAGACCCAAGGTTTGAAGTTACACCAGCTTTTGTCATGGCAGAAATGCAAAAATCGCATGGACTAGACATTGGGTATCACAAGGCATGGCGTGCTATTCAACGTGCTTCAGCTTTAATAAGAGGAACTCCTGAAGAGAATTATGAATTATTGTCTTCATACTTGTATATGATGAAAAGTAAAAACCCGGGAACATATACTAACATAAAGATAGACGATGACAACAGGTAAACAATCAAAAAAAAGATTATTAGTCTGTTTTGTAAACTTTAGGACATGCTGTCCTTAACCAGTGAAAAAGTTAAGGACGTGTTGTCCTTAACTTTGATGTGTGCAGTTAAAAAGTTAAGGACACTTGGTCCTTAACTTAGAGTTGCTAGTTAAAAAATTAAGGACATGGTGTCCTTAACTTTTGAACTTGTAACTCTAAGTTCAGGACTCCATGTCTTTAACTTTTGAGCTTGTAACTCTAAGTTAAGGACTACATGTCCTTAACTTTTTAACTTGTAACTCTAAGTTAAGGACTACATGTCCTTAACTTTTTAACTTGTAACTCTAAGTTAAGGACAAAGTCTCCTTAACTTTTGAGCTTGTTAGTCTAACTTCAGGACTACATGTCCTTAACTTTTGGGCTTGTAACCCGAAGTTTAGGACTACCTGTCCTTAACTTTTGACCTTGCTAGTCTAAGTTAAGGACTACCTGTCCTTAACTACTGTTAACCTTCTGTTATACTGTATTTTCAGGTTTCTTTATATGTTTTATGCATATGGATCATCAATAACTGGTTGGAATCATTGTAGACCAGTGATTGCTATTGATGCAACTTTTTTGAAGTCAAAATTTTGTGGTGTTTTAATGATTACAGTTTCAAAGGATGCAAATAACCAAATTTTCCCACAAGCCTTTGGAATTGTAGAATCTGAAAATAACAATTCCTATGAGTGGTACATTAGTGAGCTTCGCAACAGAATTGGGAGTCGTGAGAATTTAATTTTTTTATCAAACAGACATCAATCTATTGCATATGGCATTGCAAAGGTATATCCTGAAAGCCACCATGGGATTTATCTATCATTTGGAGCAGAACCTAAAGCGAAGGAAAGTGAAAAGTGAGGTCATAAAACTTTTCCATAGTACTGCAAGAGTATACAGGCGCAAAGAATTTGATCTATACATGTCAGATATAGCAAAAGTAGATAAGAAGACTTATGACTACTTGATGGAAGAACCACCGGAAAGATGGGCACGTTCTTGTAGTCCACGACGAAGATATGACATGCTCACAACAAACATAGTTGAGTTAATCAATTCTGTGCTATTAGAAGCAAGGGAGCTGCCTATATTAAGAATGATGGATTTCATACAAGTGAAGCTACAACGTTGGTTTTATGAAAGAAGAAATAAATCAGAAGGAACTTTTTATGATGTTTCTTGTTGGGTAGAAGAGGAATTGAAGAAAAGGATAGATTTTAGCATTTACTTTGAATGTAAGTATTATGTTCTTTGTTTAGCTTATTATTTTAATGATAATTTAACATAATGTACTAACTTATAATTTTTCAATATTGAAGGTCTTCCCTGTTGATTCATGGCGTTCTATAGTTGAGGAAGAAGGAATTACTTTCTTGGCGGACTTAAACAAAAGGACATGTGATTGTTTTCAGTTTCAATTTGATGAATTACCATGCATACATGCAATTGCAGCTATCAAGAAGAGAAACATCAAGAAGTCCAACTTTTGCTCGCACTGGTACTTAAAGGAATCTTGGCTGAAAACATATGAAAGACAAATACATCCTGTAGGACATACTGATTCTTGGATTGTACCAGAGAGTGTTAAGTCACAAATTATTAAACCTCCAAATTTCAAAGTTCCACCGGGTAGAAGGCAGAAGAAAAGGCATATTCCAGCTACCGAGTCATCAAAAATAACATTCAAATGTGGTCGTTGCAGAAGAATTGGTCATAATAGAACAGCTTGTATATATTCTCCGGCAGTCCATCCATTTTCAAGGAAGCATAGAGAATAGTAGACATATCCACTTATGTTTATCTACTCTTTAAGGTTTTTGCTATAAATTGGATTCATTTAGATTGTTTTTATTTGAGTAGATGTCCTGAATTTTCAAATTTTTTTTGCGCTTATGTGCTTTTTGTTTCTTTTGAGTTCCAAGTTCAAAAGTTAAGGACACTTGGTCCTGAACTTTGAATTCCAAGTTCAAAAGTTAAGGACACTTGGTCCTTAACTTTGAATTCCAAGTTCAAAAATTAAGGACACTTGGTCCTTAACTTTGAATTCCAAGTTCAAAAGTTAAGGACACTTGGTCCAGAACTTTGAATTCCAAGTTCAAAAGTTAAGGACACTTGGTCCTGAACTTCAAGTTCCAAGCTCAAAAGTTAAAGACACATGGTCCTGAACTTAGAATTACAAGTTAAAAAGTTAAGGACACTTGGTCCTAAAATTCAAGTTCCAAGTTCAAAAGTTAAGGAAACTTGGTCCTTAACTTTGACTTACAAGCTCAAAAGTTAAGGACATTTGCAAATGAACTTCAAGTTTCAAGTTCAAAAGTTAAGGACAGATGGTCCCGAACTTAGACTTACAAGTTAAAAAGTTAAGGACATTTGGTCCTGAACTTCCAATTCCAAGTTCAAAACTTAAGGACACTTGGTCCTTAACTAATACTTACAAGCTTAATACACTTAATTTGTGAACAATTTACAAGATATTTCAGAATTCATATGGATTCTTTACAACAATTTTATGCAAAAAATCAACTACATCTTACTTTCTTTACAACTAAACTACAGCTCCCTTGGACAGGAAGTTTCATTTTCACTATCATAGTCGTCGCTGACATTTTCTGGTGGTGTATCATAACCAGAATTTCTTTTCTAAAGTTTGTTATGTCTTCAGGTTGGAATTTCTCCACGTCCTTTCCCATCAACAACAATGTCGCGCCCCCTTTTTTCCTCCTCACGGAGAACGTTTGGGTTTCGACATTCCATGGGGGAATAACTCTTTTCCTTTTGGGAATTGGGATTTTGAAGAGTCTCCACCTAACGAATTATGGTGCGTTAGGGCACCTTGAGCAATTAACTCATGGACTAGTTTGCATTACCAGAGATTTAGGGTAAGGGCTCAAAATAACCTTGAGGGGAAGGTGTTAGGCACCCCTCTCGGTCCACAACGGTGGGTCTCGGCCGAACTTATACTTATGAATTAGTCAAATAAACAGATAAACAGTTTTATCATATACTTGCAAGTATAGGCATGTTTTGACATTCAAGTAATCAAACAAAGAAAAGGTTTTGAACAAGTGGCACATATATAAAGGAAAGTAAAATTTATTTAAACAACGGGAGTTGGGAATGGGGGTCCTAGGTTGGTTAGCCTACAGGATTATACCCATACAATGCCCGGTAATCACTCCTCAATAAGGGGCTACACGTGACATTAGCGCGTAGTCATCATATCCTTACTACCCAATTCCCTCCCCTTGGTCATAACCTAAAGCGTTCTAGCAACCTTGAAAGATATCCTATGCGTGCTCTACCCGTCCCTTCCTTGTGGCCTTGGAGGTATTTTGGACCTCTAATTTAGGTAGTTCTAGACCATCCTAAGGTGTTTAAAGGAGAAAAGTCTAAGCGTCAACCAAAACAATTAGGACTGCATTTAAATGGGGAACAATTAAAGGCTCACATTTACCTCCACAAGCAGAACAAATAAGTGCACGTCTCAAACAACTGTTTTAGGTATTTAAGAGAGAAACCTTAAAACATGATATCTAGGTGAGCAGAGAGTATACGGTATCAAACTAGGACCAAAGTGTCAAAGACCTATTCAGCTTGACTACTGATTTTAGACCTGTTGAATATGAGCAATCACAGATAACAGAACCTAGTTTTACAGTTGCAGAATTTTAATAATCCTACAAGCTTGCCTAGGCGTATAATAGCGATGTCCTATGAGCATGGTATCTATTATTGATCAGGGATGCAGTAAAACCGTAAAACGATTTTCGAACGACAACTTGAGATCTTATAGGCATGCTTTCTATCGATATTAAATTAAAGCCGTATTTGAAGACTTATTTAAAGAATCGGACAGATTAATAGAACTAAACCAATTCAGAATAAACAAACGTGAATTAAACTGATTTATTTAACTAAGCTGGTTTTAAGTTCTATAGGCATGGTATCTAATTATTAAAAGCCATTTAGACCCTATAGACATGGTTTCTAAATGTGTGGAAGTAAAGCAAACATAACCAAACACATTTGAATCAACACGACCCTATAGGTATGGTATCTACCCAGTTTTACCCATAATATATATACTACCCTCCCTTTTCACTAAACACCCCACTGTTTGTTTACAACAATTATTACAGACCAAAGAACTAAATATAAATTATAGAAATAAATAGAAATTAATCTATAGGGAACCTGCAGCATGACCAAATGATTTCCAAGCCTCCAGTAGCCTCAAATGTCAAAATGCTATAGCCAATTTCATGTCCAGGTGTGTCAGAGTTCCCAAAGGACCTCAAGGATCCTGGGTAGTGCTCACACCCAGACTTACCCAAATAGTAACTGATTATTGTGCAGTGTGGGAAGGCCAGCTCTGACATGCCAGAGTTCAGAGAGATCTCAAGGATCTCAAGGCAGTACACATATCAGAGGGGCAGAACCTAGTATACTAAGAGTAAGTGGAAGTGCATAACAGTTGAAATAGTTTAATAGAAAGGCCTTACGACTGAAAAAGAACTTTTGATAACCATTAATGCTGAAACAGTTTGAGGAAAAGTGTGAAGAAAACGATTGGCCATCAGAACCAAGTCATAGAACAAGTTTAGGAACAACTTTCACACAAGGGGATAGGGGGTTGGGAACATAGAGGGTATCTCTTAATGGAGCATACAAACGACAGGACATAGGGAGTTTTTAGGGGGTTCTACATATGCAGCAAAGATCACGGCAGAAACATGCATCACACAGCTAGAATTACTTTAAAGGGATTGACTGACTTAGTAGGAATGAAACAGAACAGGCAAGGACTTAAATGAGCATGCTGGGCAAGTATTAACAATGGAGGAATGCTAATTATATAGAAGCAGAGTTTAGGAAAGACAGTAGTTAGTCCAAACATATGCAGATATGCTAAACAAGACAGCAAACAGGCCAGTAAAGTGAAAACATACTAATCATAGGTTTGAATGGGCAATATTAGACATGCTTGGATAAGCAGTAGACAGAAACATGAACTGACTTAAGCCATATGAACTAAAGCAGTAAGTAAACACATAGGTTTGATTCTTAAAAAATTAATCAGAAGCATACCTAGTTAAAGAATGAAAAGCACAAGATGTGAGAAAGGTAGTGTGCAACTTCCAGCCTTGGCTTGTGATAACTAGGGAATTGTCACGACCCAAATCCCCGCTCTGGTCGTGATGGCGCCTCTTGTGAAGACAAGGCCAGCCTACTAACCCATATCGCCTTTTCAAAAAAAAAGTAGTTAAACATGAATAAGCAGTCTAAATATGATTTAATAATATTAATTAGCGGAAGTACAACCCAACACAGCCCTAATCGGGGTGTCACAAGTCACGAGCATCTATAAGAGTGTAAATACAACTACAAGGTCTAAAAATACACTGAACAGGAATACTGAACAACAGAGAGAAAAGCGGTGCTGCGAACGCTGGCAGTCACCTCGCTAAACTCCTATAGCTCTGCCTCCAATCGGCCAAAACCCGCTGCCGGGTGAATAAATACCTGCATCTAAAGGAGAGGAATAAGCCGAATATACAGTTTTTGAGCCGACACGTGCTAGAACCACGGAACCCGGAATGCCTAACACCTTTCTCCGGGTACAGAAATTCCTTACTTCGGATTTTCTGTTCGGGACTGTTAACAGAGTCATAATTCCTCGGATCGGATTCAAACGGTGACTGGGAACACCATTAATCTCCCAAGTGGCGACTCTGAATATTAATAATAAATCCCCGTTCTGACTGATCCTTTAATTGGAAAAACTCCTTTGCACCCTTGCGGGTGTAGTGTTAAAGGAGGGTGTACAAGAATCACCACAACAACTAAAGTCTCCATTGAACACCTCCAAATATCTTCCACCATATCGGTGAAATCGGCCATCATACACACTTGGAATGTCGCTGATGCCATTGCACAACCCAAAAGGCTCCGAGAAAAAGGCAAAGGTGCAATATGGACAAGTAAAGGTTGTCTTCTCCTGATCCTCCGGAGCAATACAAGATTTGTTGTACCCAGAATATCATCCAAGAAACAATAAGAAGGCACGCCCAGCAAGACAGATCAAGCATCTGGTCAAGGAAAGGCAATGGGAAGTGATCCTTGCCGGTCACCTTGTTCAACTTGCGTAGTCCAATGCACACCCTCCATCCGGTCACTGTACAGGTTGGAAATTAGTTTCATTATTAGCATTGGTCACCCACGTCATACCAACCCTTTTTTGGCAACACACTGCACCGGTGAACGTCCCGAGCGTCAGAGGGATAGGAGTACACATACCCGGCATCTAACCACTGTCACCTCCTTTTTCACAACTTATTGAGCATTGCCTCGTTCAACTCTCCTTGGATTTCCAAGGAGGGTTTTGCATCATCTCAAAGAATAATCGTGCATTACAGAATGCGGGCTTATTCCAGCGAATATCAGTAAAAGTCCATTCCAATTGCCTTCTCACTTTGTGAGCACCGCCCAATGTGGCATCTATCTAACTCATGTTATAAGGACAGAGGAAAGGAATAACTGGAAAGTTGAATTAGGGCCTAAGATTCATACGTGAGGTTGTGGAGGCCAATGGCTTCAACTCCAACACCGGAGGCTCCTCAATTGAAGGCTTTGTTGGAGGAGTCTTTCTATTTTCAAGATCCAAAGAAGTTTCCTAGGCTCATAAGAATAAGAGCCCATTCCATGTAAAGCATTCAGCACTCCACTCTACTCTCATCATTATTGACATCAAGATTCAACAATACGGCCTCCAAAAGGG